CAAAGTAACCATTTGCGGGTGGCGCCACTCGGCCAGCCGGGCACCGGAGTCTCCTTAGGCCACGCCTCCTCCTGCAGGCCCCATGCGCCCTCAACAGCCAAACAGAAGCAGAAGCTACTGGAAGTGTGCACGTAATAAGAGAGGCAGAGAAGGGAAGAGAGGAGAGAAAGAGCCTAGCTGCGTGCTTCCCTCACACCTAGTGGGAAGGGCCTGCGCTTCTCCATTAGCAGGCTGTGCCTCCCCCCCCCCCCCCTCCGTGCTTGAGGCCTCCTGGCGCCATGCGACTGCCTTCCCTTCCTGCGTGCATGCTCCCAAGGCCTCTTCTCCCACTTGCTTTTCTTGGGCCCTCCAGCCAGGAAGGGAAGGCAGCCGCAAAGAGCCTGGAGGCCTCGCCGCACATGCAGGCGAAAGAGACAAGCACGGAGGGTCCTGGGAGAGAGAGAGGATTGAGGGGCGGAGGCACAGCCTTCTAATGGAGAAGCGCAGGCCCCGCCCACTAGGCGAGAGGGAAGTTCTCCACGTGCAAGGAGGCAGGCAGCCAGGCTCTTTCTCTTTTCCTTCCCAGTTCCCTGCCTCTCTTTCTTACACTCACACTCCCATTCTCCCTACTCTGGAAGAGCACAGGGCCTCTTCTCTCAGGCCTCTCAGAGCAGCAAGGAGGCCTCTTCAAAAAACGGAAGGGATTGAAGGTACTGCAAATGTCATCTTTTATACATGCCTCCCCCAAACCCCTCCAGTATTTGGTCATGGAAGTCCTGTATGCCAAGTTTGGTTCAATTCTATTGTTGGTGGAGCTCAGAATATTTTTTGGTGCTTGGTAAACTGCAATTCCCAAATATCAGGGTCTATTTTACCAAAACCCCTCTCCAGTATTTTCTGTTAGTCATGGAAGTCCTGTATGCCAAGTTTGGTTCAATTCTATTATTGGTGGAGCTCAGAATGCTCTTTGGTGCTTGGTGAAGCATTCTCACCTGATGTTTCACCCACATCTATGGCAGGCATCCTCAAGAGGCTGTGAGGTCTGTTTGTAACTAGGCAAGTGGGGTTTGTATATCTGTGGAATGTCCAGGGTGAAAAAGAACTCATGTCTGCTTGAGGTAAGTGTGAATGTTGCAATTGGTCATCTTGATGAGCATTTAATGGCCTTGCAGCTTCGAAGCCGAGCTAGTTGCTGCCCAGAAATCCTTTGTTGGGAGCTGTCAACTGGCCCTGATTGCTTCATGTCAGGAATTCCCCTGTTTTTTTTTAGTGGTGCTCTTTATTTACTGTTCTGATTTTAGAGGGTTATTTTAGAGGGTACTGGTAGCCAGATTTTGTTCCTCTGAGGTTGCCTGCCATAGATGTGGGTAAAACATCAGGAGAGAATGCTTCTGTAACATGGCCATACAGCCCAGAAAACTCACAGCAACTCAGTGATTCTGGCCATGAAAGCCTACCACAACACATTATTATGTTTATTTATACCCTGCTTTTTCTCTCCCCAAGAAGACTCAAGTTGGCTTAGATTAAAACATTTCAGTACAGTCTAAAATCCACAAATATGCAAACATTAAAATGGAATTAAATATATTGGTATTTTAAAAATTCAGTTAAAATCCATAAAAAACATATCCAAAACTAAAAACTGCAGCAGACCCTGACTTGATCTTTAAAACCTTTTAAAGCCTGCATTAGATTACCAAATGTAATGTCCCTTTATACACACTGCTTTATATTAATTTCCCCAGTATTCCTTTATCTGATTTGTCATCAACACACTTTATGGACTGCAAAAATATGATCCTGTGTGATTCCTTTCCATTGCTGGCTGAATAGTTTAAATTTGGATAATATTTTGACTTTGGTATTTTAGCAATTACATTTTGCAGCAGCGTCTTTTGGGTTGCTAACCCTTGTCCTTGAGTCCTTCCATCAGTTCCAGGGCTCAATCCCAACTGCTGGTGGACGAGACACTATGGAGCTCTATATTTATATTTCCACAGTACAGAGTGGCAAAATCAAAGACTGCTTTGGGATTTTTAAAAAAATGTTTTCAAACCATGGATGGTTGAAGCAGTGGTTGCAGAACACCAACTGTGTAACACTGTCACTGTACGAGTAAAGCAACAACAAAATGCTCCCCTGCCCTTAGGTGTATAATTTAATTAAAACATGACACAAAGGCAAAGGGATGCCAGTGTGGGAAGGGATGAAGGGCCTGTCCAGACAGGCCCTATATCCCAGGATGTGATTGCAGGTTTTCTGTTTATCCTGGATTATCTGGCAGTGTGGACTCATGATCCAGTTTAAAGCTGAAAACCTGGGATCAGATCCAGGGATATAGGGCCTGTCTGGAAGGGCTCCATAGCTTCACATGCCACCTATTTCTCCAAGGCCAAAGTAGTGGCAGTTGGATGGAGGGAGGGCTCTTCATCTGCTTCTGGGTCAAGCACACGCAAGAGCAAACTTCAGCCCTCCAGGTGTTTCAGACTTCAACTCCCACAATACCTAACAGCCGGTCTAGCAGTTTGTAATGTAATACAGGTTGAGTATCCCTGATCCAAAGTGCTTTGAACTAGAAGTGTGTAAACCACTTTGAGTCCCCCTGAGGGTGAGAAAAGTGGTATACAAATACTGTAAATAAATAAATAAAATGTTTGGGATCATGGGATAGCTGTTTACGTACACAATGACACATTTCAAAGATAGCACCCAAGATAAAACACAAAAGAGGCATGCACGAGGCCTCTTTTCCCACGTGCCCGGCAACGCCGCTGCGCATCCCTCTCCCGGCATTAGGAAATGTGCGCCCTGCATCGCCCTCCTTCTCCATGCACTTCCTAACGCTGGGAGAAGGATGCACACTGGCGTTGTTGTCTCCCTTGGCCTGCAAGGAGGAGGAGGAGAGGAGGACAACGTGCATGCTTGTGAGGGAAGGATGGAGGGAGAGCATGCTCCCTGCATGAGGGCTCTTTCTCCGTGCGCCTTGCAATGCCGGCGCGGGTCCCTCTCCCGGAGTTGCAAAGCGTGTGGGGGAAGAGAATGCAAAGTGCATACCCAGGAGCCGATGGAGCACAGGGCCTCTTCTCCTGTATGAAGAAGGGCAGCATTGCAAGTGCCTCTCCAGGCAGCTGTGCCATCACCCCTCTCAGGGCGGCAAGGAGGCCTCTTCATGAACGGAAGCAACTGAAGGTACTGCAAATCTAAATTATTGTACATGCTTCCCCAAAACCCCTCCAGTATCAGAGTCTATTTTCCCCAAATCCCTCCAGTATTTTATGTTGGAACTACATCAGCACTGACAAAGAAACAACAAGAAATACTATTTACCCACAAGCATTAAGAAATTACATATATTAAAAACCAACTTTCTTATTACTTTCTTTTCAAGATCACTAGACTGGATCACAGCAACGCGTGGCAGGGGATGGCTAGTGTGTGTGTGTGTGTGTGTATGGTATGTATGGCTGGCATGGGCCAACTTCAGCCCTCCATGTGTTTTGGACTTCAATTCCCACAATTCCAAACAGCCAGTAGGAAGTCCTAAATACCTGGAGGGCCAAAATTTGTCCATGCCCCCATAGATAGATAGATATATATATATATATATATATATATAGTGATTGGTTTTGGGCGGGGGGCACCAAAATACTGTTTGCTTACCATTGAAAATTACCTAGGGCCGCCTCTGACTATGAGTATTAAAACTAGTAGATGCTAGTTATAATCGTACAGATATCTTGACAGCACTGGAAGATGAACAAAGAAATGAATCCATATGGCAATATTAGGTTCTACATTAGTTGCCAGTGCAGGCACACAGCGTTAGATTTTGGATTTCTCAATAATAAAGCTGCCATGCTATGGGACCCAATTCCATTAAAGAGACTTCCTCCAGAAGAATGGGAAAAAGGATCCTTGCAGAAATTCTCATGGTGGTCCGTGAGAAAGCCTTACTGGTACATTATTTAAACTGTTATGTTTATTCATATCATGATCTGATCACCATGCTCAATATATCCCATATGCATGGGGGTATTGGGGTAACGATACAAAAGGTTTGCTAGGGTAGACCCTCTTTCACTCAGACCCGAATCAAACTCAGCCCGTCCCGAATCAAAATCCTGGCTACAAGCCTGCTTCCTTCCATCCTTTCCTTCATGCACAAAATTAATGATTTAAAGTAATTAGAAAGGTTGGGAAACACTGTGTTAGGAAACACGGGTTTGGGGGGGGGGGGGGCTGAGTCTGAGTGAAAGAGGGTCTAGCCTAGCAAACCTTTTGTATCGTTACCCCAATACCCCCATGCATATGGGATATATTGAGTATAGTGATCAGATCATGATATGAATAAACATAACAGTTTAAATAATGCACCAGTAAGGTCTTTTCGCGAACCACCATGAGAATTGGGGGGGGGGGGGGCTGAAGCCCCTCAAGCCCCCCCCCCCCCCGCTACATGCCTGGTGATAGTAATACATTACATTTCTAGCACCAACCATTGGCATTTTTTGTCTGAGGTCACAAACAAAATAGCAAGGTTTATTCAACATTTTCTACTTAAAATCATTGAGCTGTTTGAGTCCACAGTATTCTCTGGATGTAGGTGAACTACAACTCCCAAACACAAGGTCAATGCCCACCAAACCCTTCCAGTGTTTTCTGTTGATCATGGGAGTTCTGTGTGCCATGTTTGGTTCAATTCCATCGTTGGTGGGGTTCAGAATGCTCTTTGATTGTAGGTGAACTATACATCCCAGCAACTAACTCCCAAGTAACAAAACCAACCCCCCCCCCCCCCCCCCCCCCCCCCCCCCCCAGCCCCACCAGTATTCAAATTGGGGCGCATCGGGTATTTTGCCAAATTTGTTCCAGTGAATGAAACTACATCCTGCATATCAGATATTTACATGACGATTCATAACAGTAGTAAAATTCCAGTTATGAAGTAGCAATGAAAAGAATGTAATGGTTGGGGGTCACCACAACATGAGGAACTGGTTTAAGGGGTGGCGGCATTAGGAAGGTTGAGAGCCACTGCTGTGAGCGATGGAGAGCAAAGACCCTTTTTTGGATGTAGACAGCCACATTCGTATTAAAGCAGCACCTCTTCAACAAGGGAGGCGCTGGCGTGGAGAGGCGGCCAAGGCGACGCCGGAGAGCGCTTCGCGGGGACTGCCTTCAAGGCAAAGGAGGGCTGCCGAGGGATCTCGTTGCCACCCATCCCGGTAAGCCGGCTAGGGGTCCCACGGTCTCGCCGCTCTCCCCTCGCGAAGGGGGTCGAGGGGATCCTCCTTCGTGGAGGGCCGTGGGGACACTCGCGGGAGGCGGGCTGGGCGGCGGGGCCCGGAAAGGGCTTCGGAGTTGCCTCCGGCTCCCTCTTCCCCCTCCCACTTCATCATACTAGAGGAAAAAATCCACTTAAAACCCGATTTCTGCCTCCTGCAGAATTCTGGGGTTTGTAGTTTAGTGAGACTGTTAAAGGCTCTTCCCCCCTCCCTCCCTTAACTACAAACCCCGGAATTCTGCAGGAGGCTGAAACCGGATTTTAAGTGGATTTTTTTCTCTAGTGTAATGAAGCAACCACTGCGTTTAGTGGTGCGTTTGTCCTTGCTGCTTCCGCGTGCTGCTGTTGGCGACATTTGGCCATCCTACCCTGGAGTTTTCTTCGCAAGCTTGGTTCAGAGGGGTGTTGGAGTTTTCCGGGCTGTATAACCATGTTCCAGAAGCATTCTCTTATATCTATGGCAGGCATCCTCAGAGGTTGTGAGGTCTGTTGGAAACTAGGCAAGTAAGGTTTATATATTTGTGGAATGTTCAGGGTGGGAGAAAGAACTCTTGTCTGTTGGGAGCAAGTGTGAATGTTGCCACTGACTACCTGGATTAGCATTGAATGGCCTTACGGCTTCAAAGCCTGTCTGGCTGCTGCCTGGGGGACTCCTTTGTTGGCCCAAATACCTCCCAAAATAAAGAGCAATACTCAAAAATCAGGGGAATTTCCAGACAAGAATCAATCAGGGCCAGCTAACACCTCCCAACAAAGGATTCCCCCATGCAGTAAGCAGCCAGGCTTTGAAGCTGCAAGGCCATTCAATGCTAATCAAGGTGACCCATTGCAACATTCACACTTGCCTCGAGCAGACAAGAGTTCTTTCTTCCACCCTGGACATTCCACAGATATATAAACCAACAGACCCCTCAATCTCTGAGGATGCCTGCCATAAATGTGGGCGAAACGTCAGGAGAGAATGCTTCTGAAACATGGCCATACAGGCCAGAAACCTCATAGCAACCCAGTGATTCTGGTCATGATCATTATATGAATAAACATAACAGTTTAAATAACGTACCAGTAAGGCCTTCTCACGGACCACCCTAAGAATTTCAGGGGGGGTGGGTGGGGCTGAAGCCCCTCAACCCCCCCCCCCCCCGGCTACGGGCCTGCTATAGTAGAAGTCACATGCTATAGTAGAAGTCAAATGTCAGAGTGCTGGAAGAAGCAAAGACCACCAGCATTGAAGTGATGGCCCTCCGCCATCAACTCCACTGGACCAGCTATATTGTCTGGATGCCCGACCACTGTCTCCCAAAGCAGTTGCCCTACTCTGAACTCAAGAATGGAAAACGGAATGTTGGTGGACAGGAAAAGAGATTTAAAGATGGGCTCAAAGCCCACCTTAAAAACTCTGGCATAAACACAGAGAACTGGGAAGCCCTGGCCCTTGAGCGCTCCAGCTGGAGGTCAGCTGTGAAGAGCAGTGCTCTAAAATTTGAAGAGGCATGAATGGAGGGCAAAAGAGAGAAACGTGCAAAGAGGAAGGTGCGTCAAGCCAACCCCGAATGTGCAAACCAATGTCCTCACTGCGGGAGAAAATGCAGATCAGGAATAGGGCTCCACAGTCACCTATGGACCCACCGCCAGTGCACCAATCTTGGAAGACAATCCTACTCAGACAATGAGGGATTGCCTAAGTAAGTAAAGTAAGTAAGTATAACTTGACAGAGTCATTCCTGGGTCAAAAGTTTCCTAGCTCTTCTGGCTAGGAAATTCTGGGCACTGTGATCCAAAAACTAACTTTTAACAAGCTTTTCCCTCCTAGCATCCTGCTTAGGAATTTCCTTTACAAGTACGAGATCTCAAATAGCAGCATCACTAGGGTTGGTGTCACCCAGTGTGGCACCTCATGGCATCACTCTCATGAATCCATCCATAACGGATCATACTACAGTACTATAGTTAAAATAATAGAAAATTTGATTAAAACCACAACTATAGTAATAGTATCATCATCATCTTTATTTTTAACCCACCCTCTCTCCCTGGAGAGACTCAGGGTGGCTTCCAAAACTGTAAAATGGCAAACATTCAATGACATGTGTAAATAACAAATTAAAACAATTAAAACAAACAGCTAACAACACAATAAAAAGGAGCAATGAAAACAACAGCACATGTGTATACAAAACCACACAAATGATAGGATGTACATTAGAAAGTTTAAGAAGTCAGTTAGTGAAGTCTTTTCGTCTTGCAGCGATATTGATATAGTATCATAGAGTTGGAAGACACCTCGTGGGACATCCAGTCCAACTCCCTGCCAAGCAGCAGGAAATTCACATTCAAAGCACCCCCGTAGATGCAAACTGTATCTCTGATGGTGTCACTCAGTGTAATGTGTTGTCGAAGGATATAATGGCCAATTGCAACATTCACACTTGCATCTCAGATACAAGAGTTCTTTCTCCCACCCTGGACTTTCCACAAATATATAGAACTCACTTACTTAGTTTCCAACAGACCTCACAACCTCTGAGGATATGTGCCATAGTGGAAGGTAAAACGTCAAGAGAGAATGCTTCTGGAACATGGTAATAGAGCCCAGAAAACTCACTGCAACCCTCACCCAGTGTAGTTTGCAACCCAACCTTTTGTGACACCACTGATTCCAAATACAATTCAATTTCAGGTAGACCTTGGAAGTACAGGTAATAGACACACCCTGTCTGTTACCTAGCAAGGTGCTCCCCATTGGGTGGATAGCTTTGAGTTCAAATGGACCCATGGTCTGATTCTGGGAGAAGGCAGCTTAGTATATTCCTTTTCGGGTGCATCCCCCTCCTGAAGATGTAAAAAAGAATAATATTTAATATTTCAAAATATTAGTTTTTAAGTTTTGAATGGCAAATCTTCACTTGTGTTTCACAAAATAAACAGACGTGCTCTCTTGGCTTCTTCAACCAAAGAGCTTTCCTGCAAAAACAGTGCTGAATGTCTGCCTTTGTTTTCTCTCTCACGGCCCCCTCGATTCTGAAGCAGTTCTGTTATTAAACTGGACACAATAGATTTTTGCAAACAGAAAACAAACAAAACAAACTTTACAATTGCTAAGAATGTATAATAGAATGACAAATCTCAGTGGATTATACTTTGCACAAAGTAACTGAATTTTAAATATATTTGGCCATATTTACTGGAGAATCTTGGGCAAGCCACCCTTTCAGCCTAAGAAGAAGCCAACAGCATCCACCCTTTGAGTAAATCTTGCCTAAAAAAACCTGGCTACAGGTCCTTCATAAGTCAGAGTCTGCTCAAAGGCAACGGCAACAATAATGTACTATTCTAGATAAGTAGGAATGGGGCTGAATTTGAAGGATGGGAAACTTGTACACCCATTGTTATCCTTACTTCATCAATACCATCTTTTATTCATATAGCACCATCACTGTGAAGGGTGCTCTAAAAGAATTAAGAAGAAGAAAAGGCACCCTGCCCCCATGCCTTTAGATTGGAAAGAAGATGGCAGTGTGGGAGGGGAAATGGGGATGTCTCCCCCAACAGAGACAACCTTTTTCTCTCTCACTCTGAGGTCAAGGCAGTGGCAGTTGGAATGGGCTTAGGCATGAGAACAAGTTATACACATGAAAGGTTTTGTTTTCCAAAAAGCATCTTCAAAACTATCCCAGTATATCTTCTTACATTTACTTTCATAGTATCAGAAAGTTTAAATGCAATGAAGAAATGGGTAACCGTGATGGCATGTCCGAGCCTATGGGGAAACTATAGTGTCTGGCTATCTGTATACATTCTGTTAAGATTAAGTCCCTTTAACACACAGAGACACTTTAGGCAAGCTGAAAAATAACCAAATGAGTTTACTGCAAAAAAGATGAATAAATTGTTAACTCCACTCAGGACTATCATAAAGTAATTTAAAACAATACATTACAAAAGAAGCCTTGGCTGGCTGTAACAATCTCTCGGGAGTCTTCTACCTCTGGTGCAAAGCGATGGTTATAAACTGTTTCAATCTTCTTTCTTGTGAAGCATAAGCTGATCATAAGCTTCTGTTGTCCTTTGGACTGCTGGTATAAAAATACTGTTGAATGCAGGTGCTAAGGATGCCCGTTTTTGGATTGCTAGGCCTAAGGTTACCAGACAATCCCAAGCCTAAGTCCCAGTAACTCTGCTGTAGAAAAAGAGCTCTATACAAGGAAATGGAATAGACCCACTAAGGCTGGCCTCTGGGGAGGGGGGAGTGTTATGCTCCACCCAAAAACGAATACAAAGGAAGGTATCAATGCTGTTGGGAAAATCTTTAAACAGGGGGAACTGAAGCAGAGGAGAGGAAAAGGCAGAGCTAAAACTTCACAATAAACTCCTGATATATTAAGGGATACAGTAGTAGACTCTCAGTTAACTAAAACTCAAAAAACTGGAACTCTCAAGCAACCAGGAAAAAAAGAAAAGAAATAATACATTTTTTTAAAAAACTGGATAGATGAAAAGGAATATACGAAGCTGCCTTCTCCCAGAATCAAACCATGGGTCCATTTGATCTCAAAGCTATCCACCCAACAGAGAGCACCTTGCTAGGTAACAGAGAGGTTTGTCTGTTTCTTGTACTCCTGAGGTCTATCTGAAATTGAATGGTATTTGGAATCAGTGGCATCACAAAAGGTTGGGTTGCAAACTACACTGGGTGAGGGTTGCAGTGAGTTTTCTGGGCTCTATTACCATGTTCCAGAAGCATTCTCTCCTGATGTTTTGCCCACATCTATGACAGGCATCCTCAGAGCACCTGATGTACCAACCTGGACACAGTATATTATTTGAGAACACAGAAATGCTGGACCACTCTAACAATTACCTTGTCAGGCTACAGAGAGAAGCCACTGAAATCCACAAGCATGTGGACAATTTCAACAGAAAGGAAAAAACAATGAAAATGAACAAAATCTGGCTACCAGTATGAAAAAACACTAAAATCATAACAGTAAATAAAGAACAACACTCAAAAACAGGGTAAGTCCAGACAAGAAACAATCAGGGATACCTAATCATCTCTCAACAAAGGATTCCCCCAGGCAGTAAAAAACTACACCTTGAAACTGCTAGGCCATTAAATGCTAATTAAGGTGGCCAATAGCAACATCTGCACCTGCCTCAAGCAGACAAGAGTTCTTTCTCCCACCCTGGACATTCCACAGATATATAAACCCAATTTTCCCATTTTCCAACAGATCTCACAACCTCTGTGGATGCCTGCCATAGATGCAGATGAAACATCAGGAGAGAATGCTTCTGGAACATGGCCATACAGCCTGAAAAACTTACAACAACCCAGTGATGCTGGCCATGAAGGCCTTTAATGATACTTTAAAAAACCTGTTCTTATAATACAATAAAACAGTAAAACCATGTTACATTACATTTGTGTTTATTTGCTTTTGATTATTGTATTTTAATATTAATATCAAGTCAATATGGAGCTTATGGTATGATATGGCAAGGGGTATAGTATTACTTAGGCCTATTTTTAATAGCCACTCTCAAACAACCAGAAACTACATTGATCTTTTATCTACCAATTCCTATGGACATCATTTAACTGAGAATCTGCTGTATTACCAACACCTCTATGAATGAATATAAGTCACTAGTTTGTAGTCTTTACCTATAATTTTCCTCATGTATTCAGAAGACAACAACAACAACAATACTTTATTTATATTCCACCTTATCTCCCAAAGGGGGACTCAGGGTGGATTCCAGCAGATATACAGAGTACAGACACAGGCAAACACTCAGTGCCTTGAAACAATGAAATAGAAATGAAACAGAAATACACAGACAAAGGCAATGGCTTCCCCTTTCATCTCTTGCTCTGAGAGTGATGCTCATCACCAGCTCTTGGGGAGGTGCTCATCTCCATTTCCAAGCTAAAGCGCTCGCATTGCCCATAGACACTTCCTAGGTCGTGTGGCTGACATGACAGCATGGGGAGCCATTTACCTTTCCGCTGAGGCAGTATCTATTGAGCTACTCACATTTTCATGTTTTCAAACTTCTAGGTTGGCAGGAGCTAGGGCTCACCCCATCCCTTGGATTTGAACTGCCAACCTTCAGGTCAGCAAGTTCAGCAGCTCAATGGTTTATTTATTTATTTATTTGCTTTATTCATACTCTGCCTTTCTCACCCTCCGTAGGGGGACTCAAGGCAGCTTACAACTCTGGCAAGATTTAATGCCACTTAAAACATAGTCATAAAACCTATCCTGGACACTAAAAACAGTTTAACCCATTGCACCACTGTGGCAAACTTCCAAGCATCTGAGTACAGTACAAACTCCTGTATCTGGGGGAATGGATTCCAAGCTCTACCATGGATGCCAGAAACTATAAATAATAGCTAATTATATATTTTGACTATACTTGACTGGTAGTATTCTATAGAATTGCACTGGATAAACTAAAAAGGCCCACAAATATTTTTGGGTGGGAGGACATTTTTTGGAGCATGAGTAAGGGAAAACATGGATATAGAATTTCTAGATAAAAGAGTTAAACTTGTTCAGTACTACTAAAGATGCTTTAGAGGTGTAATGAGTCCCCGGTGGCACAGTGGGTTAACCCGCTGAGCTGCTGAACTTGCAGACCGAAAGGTCACAGGTTCGAATCTGGGGAGCGGCATGAGCTCCCACTGTTAGCCCCAGCTTCTGCCCACCTAGCAGTTCAAAAGCATGCAAATGTGAGTAGATCAATAGGTACCGCTCCAGTGGGAAGGTAACGGCGCTCCATGCAGTCATGCCGGCCACATGACCTTGGAGGTGTCTATGGACAACACTGGTACTTCAGCTCAGAAATGGAGATGAGCACTTAACATCAGGGGAAAACCTTTACCTTTACCTGCAACCTTTTAAACTGAGTTGGTTTTAAAAAAATTAAAGTTATTTTGAGTCCAGGAGAAAAGCAGAGTATCAAATAAATTTGAGGGGGGGGGGAGGGTTCTCATCCATACCCATTGTTCAACAATACACAAGTGATCCATTATGTTCATCCCACTACAATGTTTCAATTTCCCCTTTGTAAAATGGCCAGTTTTGCATGTGTTGATATTTTGTCTACAGCTTCACTATTTTTCAGTCAATTGAAAGCACACACAGTAAAGTAATTGATCACTGTATGGGAAGGGGGGTCCCAACAACTCTGAAGAAGCAAACAAAAAACTCAAGTGTTTAAAATTCTTCTAACGTTTAAAAATCTCCAGTAGTTGCTGTGGTAACAGGCATTGCTGATGTGTTTGGCGGAAATGTCAATACAGTAGCTTTGGCACAGACAGAACACGGCTCAAACAAGTTAGAGGTTCCTTCATTGAAAAATAGTATTTGAACCAGAGTTGCCTTCTGTCAAAAAATCCCTTTGAGAAGAATAAGGTTAAAGAAAAGTCAATATTTGCAGTATGTATGAAGACAGGTGGCTAGTTGTTTAACCGTTGACTAATCATTACTCATTAAAACATAACATTATGCTCCTATGGTGGTTGGATTTGCAGTAGCAGCAGCCACAGCATCTTTGTTTAATCTAGGTTAGTTGGTGTTGGTACTCCACTTTGAGGACTGAGTTGCTCAGGTAACCAACATGGTGTCAAGTGGAACAATGTCCTGTACTGGAATGGAAGCATTTATACAATGCCTAATGTTGATTTATGAATTGCATTCTCGCCTAATTAGATATGGTAATATCGTGTTCTCTGTCGTGTACTTGCAAAGCTTGTTTATCTTCTTCTTTCATAACACCCCAGAAGAAAAAGAAAAGGGAATGCAAGATGGCAACCCACAAGCATCGTTACAAAAAGAGCACGTTTCCTCCACTTCTCCCAGTTAATTTCAAGACTCAGGTAATCCTTTCAAAAGAATCACCATCTATTAACATGTTTTGCAACATGATCATGATAGTTGTAATAATTATATTTTATGTCTGGAAAAATCTGCATTATGGGGGCTGCTTTGTCCTGCCTTTCAAGTAAAGTCCTACATTGCTAAAAGCTGTCAAAGCCAAGATATGTACTATGGGACTTTATTAAAAAGAGAGGAAGAAGAGCCATCTCTGCTTTGTCTGACAAGCTATTCAAGGGGAAATACATGGAAAGTACAACTCAATGTTTCTGGAGGGTGAAAAAAAGGAAATGGAATCCTGATAAAACACAGGCTCTATGCACTGGTGTCTCTTAAATCTGGGGATTGTTTGTCCTGAAGGAATATGCACTTCATTTTTTTGATATTTCTAGTCCATTCTTGTCACTGGAGGCCTGGATAGGCATATTGGCTTGGAGCTCCTTGAGCTAGCTCTGTCTGATCCACTAGCTATAGCCTTTCCTGGGCAGTGGTAGCTTAGCCACAGAACTAACTTACTCATTGTTTGAGTATGATGGCCTTTCAAATGTAGGGTCTTGGTGGTGGATTTGTGGCTAACTGTAGAGACCTATTCTTGACCCACATATTCTTCCACAGTAAGGACATTGGTTTCCAGGTGGAAGGCGGTTGCGGTCAGGGTTGGCTTGACACACTTTCCTCTTGGCACATTTCTCCCTTTCACCCTCTATTCATGCCTCTTTAGATTCCACAGTAGCTCATGTACTGATAACTAGATAATTATACCGCTGCAATATGCTCTACACCAGTGGTTCCCAACCTTTCTTTGACCAGGGACCACTTTGACCAGTGACCACTCTCCAACATTAGTAACAAAAGGGTTACAAATCTGTTTTTGGCCGGCTTTAGATTTGGTTTGGTTATTTGGGGTGCTGATTAAGAAAACTGCATTGGATAGACCACATCAGCTCAAGTTTCTGATACAAAACATATGTCATCCAGTAGTCTCCATCTGCTAACCCACAGAAAACCATATTTAATAAGTCTCAGCACTGTAAGAGGGTTTCGCGAGACCAGTCACTCTCGTTGCAACGAGGGTAGTAACAGTGAGGCCACAGACCATATTTTAGTTCTTGCGGATCACTGGTGGAAAATGGACCACAGGTTGGGAACCACTGTTCTACACAGAACTGGCCTTGAAAATGACTTGGAAATTATAGCTAGTGCCAAATGAAGTCACTAGACAGCTCACTGGGATTCCATATAACATCTGTTCCAGAGGAATTGCGTTGGTTGCCAATATGTTTCCATTCCGAATCCAAGCTGCTGGCAATAATATTTAAATCCCCAAATGGCCCAGGAATCAAAACATGGAGAAGCATGCCTATCTATATATAACCTGCCCAAGAATTGAGATTTATTGGAGGACTCCCCTTTGTGTCACATTAGTATGGAAAACACATTGTGGGAGGACATGGGAGAGGCCTTCTCCATTGTGGCACCCCAGTTGTGGAGGGCTGATTAGTACCAAAGATTATATCATTTTAAATAAAACAAAACTCTGGCTTTTTATTAAAAACTTCAGGTCAAATTGATTATGTCTAAGCTTTATATGCTTGATAGCAAATTATTTAGGATTATTTAAAATAGTTTTAAACTAGAAAACTATTTTATTTTGTAATCTTTTACATTTTTGTAATTATTCATTGTTTTAGGTTGATTTTATTGTAAGTCATCCTGAGGTTTTTGGATAAACAATGGGATATCCAGTGGTGCAGTGGATTAAACTGCTGAGCTGCTAAGCTTGTTGACCAAAAGTTCGCAGGTTCAAATCTGGGGATCTTCTACTGTCAACCCCAGCTTCTGCCAGCCCAGCAGATCAAAAACATGCAAATATGAGTAGATCAATAGATATTGCTTAGGTGGGAAGGTAACGGTGCTCCATGCAGTCATGCTGGCCACATGACTTTGGAGGCGTCTATGGACAATGCCATCTCTTCAGCTTAGAAATGGAGATGAGCATCACACCCCATAGTTGGACACGATTGGACTTCATGTCGGGGAAAACCTTTACCTTTTATACATATTTTAATATTTTCCTTTGGTGAGCATAGTTATTCATTCTCATATTTTTTTATTGCTTCCTTCATTCATCTACTTCAAATAACTTTGATGCTGTAGGTACATGATTCTGGAAGAGCTATTTTTGTTCTTGCTATGCTTATCAGTTTATTTATAAGATATCTAGACTGCCTTTAAAGCCATCAATCATTGAAGACTTTTGAAAAAATATTAGAGGAGAAATAAAACCATATCTTAAATCAGTTTGAAAAACCTAAAGGAAAATAGTAACATGAACCACAATATTTAAAAAGACAACCAAAAAAGTAGGGCTAATATCCAATTAATTCCTTAGAGGAGTGTTGTAGGGCTGGAGGCATAGTCTTGGTACATATGTTTAGCCCTATTACACAACATTGGGCCTCAGGACCAAGAATGTAGCTACTGGAGGTTCCCAGATTTCCAGTATGGCAACAAGTGAGACACTGACATTCATTCACACCTTGACCTATTCTATTTTCAGAATTTGCTTGCCTTTCGTAACTTTGCTTGTCTCTTTTCAGTGGTTGGCCGAGCAAGGATTCAAACCATGGTCTCCACAGTCATTATCCAATGTTCAAAATGGCTCAGAGGGAGTGGAAAACAAACTCCCTTTTGCAGATACCCTTACCTTCCTACTTAAAAAAAAATTCAAGTGAGAATTCCTGGTCCTAGAAAAATCCAGATCAAAAGAATTCCCAAAACATGTGGCATGCATGATATGCCTGTTTCGTTCTTCTGATACCACAAATTTAGAAATGGTGTCCTGGTGATTTACAGTTCCATGAGGAAAGAATAAGACCTACTCTGAGTCAAATAGGCAGAAAAGTGTTTTTGGACTTTTGAACCTTGCTCATTTTGGTGTGTGGAATTACAGATTATATTCTGCCCCAATAAACTATGAAGAAGTGAGGATTTAAAAAAAAAAGAAAAATACAGGAAATGGATCACGTTGCTGCCTGTAGCCCAACTCTTTTGCAGTCTTTCTTCAAATGTCAGGTTTCTTTCAACTGGGCTTAGAGACTGAGAGTGAATCTAACTAGACCAGAGGTTTTCAACTTGTGAGTCTTCTGATGTTTTGGCCTACAACTCCTAGAAATCCCAGCCAGTTTACGAGCTGTTAGGATTTCTAGGAGATGGAGGCCAAAACATCTGGGGCCCCACAGGTTGAGAACCACTGAACTAGACAATAAGTGCATATTGTGCTGCAGTGGACATAAACAGAGCCTAGTAAAGTTCACTTTCTGGGATGGGGGAACCACAGCTCCCAGTAGTCTTCAACCAGATGTCCATGCTTTCTCAGGCTGGATCTACACTGCCAAGCCAGAAACTGGATTATATAGCAATATAGACAGGGCCTCAAGGAATCTGAGGGCAATTCTCAGGAGATAAGCCACATGTGTGGGGGAATTTGCATTCTTCATGATTTAAAAGTTATCTCCTCTCCATTATGGACATGGTTGAGCTAGAACTGGGTTCGAACCAACAGGTTTACTATTCTGGTGTCATTTCAGTCTGAATTGAAGAAGGATCCATACAGTAATAATAGAGAGAGGTAGAAATAAAACACACAAGTCAAGTGCTGTAGAAATCAGACACATGAGGGCGTGGGATGGAGGAAAACATTCTGAGAATTCCCTCAAGGGGAAATAATATACATATGTGATTCTGGAAGATGGAATTCCAGCTATATAATGCTGCAATGTGGAATGTTGATGTTGGAGAAAAAGTTGGGGGTTTTGCTGAAGAGCTAAATTTGCACAAACAGATATATGATGGTCTGGGGGGGGGGGGGCTGCTCTCGATCCCACCTTTGTCACAAGTACGTCTGGCGGGAACAAGAGTCAGATCCTTCTCAGTGGTGGCCCCTTGGCTATGGAATGCCCTCCCTGGTGATATCAGCTTGGCCCCTTCCCTTTAAACATTCTGAAAAAAAGTCAAGACTTGGCTTTTTGAGCAAGTGTTTGCAAATGCATTGTAACAGACATAGGAAAATGGAACAACTGGATAATGTGACTGGACAATGTTTTTAACAAGGAGACGCTAATGATATATGATTTTATTGATCTTGCTATGGTTTTATATTTATGTTAATGTTTTTAACTGTTTTTTATGGTTTTGGGGGCATTGAATTGTTGCCAACTGTAAACTGCCCTGAGTCACATCTGGGCTGAGAAAGGCAGTATATAAATATAGTTAATAAATAAATATGATCTTACAGGTGTTTTTGGAGTTCTGCTGCCATTACTTCTACTAGTTCAAGCCAATTGTCAGTTATGATTTAACTGACTGCATCTCCTCCTACGAACCTACACAAGCCCTGAGATCAGCAGGAGAGGCCCTACTCTCGGTCCCACCACCATCTCAAGTACAATTTGTAGAAACAAGAGAGAGGGCCTTTTCGGTGGCAGCTCCGCAGCTCTGAAACTCCCTTCAGAATGGCTTCCTCCCTATTATCATTCAGGAATCAAATAATAACTTTCCTGTGGAAACAGGCCTTCCCTGAAAATGAACAACAGCACTGAAAATGCCAGATTTATAGTGTGCAATGTTTTACCTCTGGCTATGGACCTGACTACGGCCTAAATGAATTGAATGTAGATGGGGTTTTAATCTATTGTTGTGTAACTATGTTTATGATAGTTGCCAATTACATTGATGTTGGGTTTTTCAATAATTTATTCCTTTTATTAGATATGATTATGATGGTGCTGTTCATTTTTATTGTATGTTAAGTTTTTCTACTTTTTACATATTGTTTGCCACTTTGAGTCCTGACTCGGGAGAAAAGAGGGATAGAAAATAATAATAATAATAATAATAATAATAATAATAATAATTTGCTTGATCTTTAAAAATATCTCAAGGGGCATAGGCTCACAATTTCTACTACAGAACAAGAGAAGAAACGATTATGATAGCTGGCATAAAATGGCGCACAGATAGTACTAAAAACTGCAACATGCCAGTATTAAGGAAGTGCCTTTGCTATCAGAAAAACATATAATATTCTTTCAAAGCTGAGGGTTTGTCAGTTCTTTCCATCTCTAATTTCTGTCTCAATTAAACCTCAGTTTTTGAACCAGCAGCATCAATATATCATTTACAGTACCAAAACTATCTGGAAAGACTTAATGTAGAATAGGGAAAGCTTTCGACTATATTCCTAAGTAATAAACAACATTTATTTAGTGACAGGGCATCTTCAAAGCAATAGACAAAAAAAAGCTCTTTTGTAAGTACAAACAGGGAGAATGAAAGTACCAATATGCTAACCCACGTCATGCATATTATTGCCATAGTAACAAGGTGATAAATATAGCCATTCATTGCAAACTCGGGAAGATGTATGCAGATAGGTCCTGTTTATTATTATTAACATTAAATCTCGCTGAAGTCTTTCTCAGGAGGGGTAGCAGGACTTGTGCATCCAATGCTGTAATGTTATAAATTTGCTGTTAAGGTGCATTTTTACATGATCATCTATATGATTTTATATTAAAAAATACTTGGTATTGCAGTTTCTACATAAACATTCATGTTTAACTGTTCAGCAGTGGAACTCTCTGCCTTGGAGTGTAGTGGAAGCTCCTTCCTTGGAAGCTTTTGAACAGAGACTGGATGGCCATCTGTCAGGGGTACTTCAGTTGTGCTTTTCTTTCATGACAAGGGGTTGGACGAGATAAATATTTAATATGCAATATATATTTTCATTCACTGGATGAAATTTGGCAAAAGTACACAGTACGCCAAATTTGAATACTGATGGGGTAGGGGAGGATTGATTTTGTTGTTTGGGAGTGGTTGTTGCTGGGATGTATAGTTAACCTAAAATCAAAGGGCATTTTGAACTCTACCAAAGATGGATTTGAACCACATTTGGTACATAGAACTCCCATGACCAAGAGAAAACATTAGAAGGGTTTGGTGAGCATTGACCTTGAGTTTTAGAGTTGTAGTTCACCTATGTCCAGAGAGCACTGTGTACTCAAACAATGATGGATCTGGACCAAACTTGCCATGAATACTCAATATGCCCAAATGTGAACACTGATGGAGTTTGGGGAATATAGACCTTGGCATTTGGGAGTTGTATTTGCTAGGATTTATAGTTCACCTACAATCAAAGAACACTTTGAACCTAGCCTACAATGGATTTGCACCAAACCTGGCACACTACCTACATGGCCAACATTGAATACTGGTGAGGTTGTAGGGGGAGACTATTTTTGAATTCTTGGAGTTGCAGTTCACTAACCCCAAAAAGGAGGAGAAAGACAGGCAGAGAGATTTTCAGTGTTCTCTGCCAAAGGGGTTCCTAAGACCATCAGAAATATGTGTTTCCTGATGGCCTTTGGTAACCCCTCTGAACCCCACCCCCCAGGGACCCAACCCCCAGGTTGAGAAACACTGCTCTATATGTTTGTGCAAAATGCACTTTATTATCTCATACCTGTCTTTGCATTTTGTTGAGATGTTTCCAAATGAATGCGCAATTACAGTTGCATTGTTTATGTGGATTGAGCATCAGTTCTTGGCACACTGTCAAATAATGGCTTTGAAAGTGATACACAGACTAAAGAAAGCTTAAGAGTACAGTTCTAGCATATAAGTAATAAGTGTGTAATTCCAGTAAAGGCATGGGATACATTTTAAGAGCTTTCTCAGAAACATACTGCCATAATATTCACCAGAAAATTACATTCCCAGTCTCAAAAGAAAAGCAGCGGCAAACCTTCTCTGAAGAAAACTTGCCAAGAAAACCCCACAATATGGTTCCCCTAAGAAAATGACTTGAAAGCCCACAACAATAGTGTATTATATAGGCTAAATGGTTGCACTTTATCTGAATTGATGAAAAGAAATTGCCAGGCTCTTTGGCTTAAGGAATATAGGCAGCCTTGATTTGGGCACTTCAATGCATTCCCTTCCCATACTTGTTTTCTGGGTGATATTATGTGCTGTAGTATTTCATAACATCAGCACGTTTGCATTCACCATGTGCAAATTTATCACCTCCTTCAATTTTTTTCCAGCTCCCCGCTTTGGCTTTTGTTGCCTCCGTGGCGTTCCTCCCATCCTTCTGCTTCTTTTGTAAACTTTGAGACTTTACACAAGCAGACCTTTCTGGGAATGGCCAGGATTATGCATGTTTGCAGTGTGTCCTTGGTAGCAAAGAATTACACACAATGTGGAGAGAGTGCTTGCCAGTCTTGGCAATGTGTTTGTTAAGCTGTGTGCTGGTTCTTGTCCAAAGACAAAGAGGGGGAAATAGTTTTTTAAAGTTTATAAAGTCTAGAACATAGCTTCTATAAACAGAAGTTGCCTTTACAAGCGACTCCTGTTTCACATAATTTTGCTCATTGCATTTACTTTGGTCATGTCTGACAATGCATAGTCCATTGTATTCAGGCAAAATAATGCATTCCAAATAGCCTTCTGAGCCTGAGTTTGATTTTTCTTTTCATAAAATCATAGAATTGGAAGAGACTTTGTGGGCTATCCAGTCCAACCCCCCTGCCAAGAAGCAGGAAAATTACATTCAGAATCATGGAATCATAGAATTGGAAGAGAACTCCTGGGCCATCAGGTCCAATCCCCTGCCAAGAAGCAGGAAAATCGCATTCAAATCACCCCCAACAGATGGCCATCCAGCCTCTGTTTAAAGGCCTCCAAAGAAGGAGCCTCCACCACACTCTGGGGCAGAGAGTTCCACTGCTGAACGGCTCTCACACAGGAAGTTCTTCCTAATATTCACATGGCATCTCCTGTCTTGTAGTTTGATGCCATTGCTCCGTGTCCTAGTCTCCAGAGCAGCAGAAAACAAGCTTGGTTCCTCCTATCTATGACTCCCCCTCACATATTTATACATGGCCATCATATCTCCTCTTAGCCTTCTCTTCTAGAGGCTAAACATGCCCAGATCTTTAAGCCACTCCTCATAGGGCTTGTACTCCAGATTCTTGCTCATTTTAGTCGACCTCCTCTGGACACATTCTAGCTTGTCAGCATCTCCCTTCAGAATTGGACACAGTATTCCAGGTGTGGTCTGATCAAGGCAGAAGAGAGGTCTAGCATGACTTTCCTGGATCTAGATACAGATACTATATTCCTATTTATGCAGGCCAAAATCTCATAGGCTTCTTTTGCCGCTGCATGACATTTTTGGCTCATGTTTAACTTGTTGTCCACAAAGACTCCAAGATCTTTTTCACATATCGAGAGAAGCGTTACTATTATTATTCCATGTAAATTAGCCATCCAAAGTTCTTAAGGTAGGTTAAATGTTCCCCTTAATTTATTTATTTTGGGAGACAATTAAATCTTAGTATGAATGTGCATGCTATATCTAATGAAAATGGATGCTGATCTTATCTTTGGAATTCCATTGGGCAAGTTTGTGAAAGTCACACTGTCTCAGCCACAGAGGCAGGCAATGGGAAATTTCTCCTGAAGAAATCCTGTCAAGAAAATGTCATGAAAGGTTTGCCTTAGGATCGTCTTAAGCCAGAATTGCCTTGAAGGGACACTGCTGTGCTAAATTCAAAGCTTGGGGACATTACTTTTTTTTTGTGCTGCAGCTCTCAGATCCCCCTGCCCTTACTTGATGTGCTAGTTTGGGAGTTGTGGGTCAAAAATCTCTCTGAGTTCCCTCAGGGAGAGAGGGCACTCTATAAATAAAGTATTTACAAAAAGGTAATGCGCCCTAAGTCTGACAAAGTTTCACAAGCCACCAAAGTTCAAGAGCCTCTTTGTCCTCTAAGGATTTCATTTTTATTGAACTAATTAGTAAGATGGTGAAGGTCAGATGGAGGCGCTAGTTGATACCAACCTGGAACGGATTTCTCAAGTGCTACTAGTCTTATCTTACAGAACCCTAAAACATAGAGTATAGGGAAAGGCATGATTGTGATTTCATGATACTAAGTGCTAAATTATACAAGGCAAGCATAGAAAGTACGTCAACTAATGAGGAAACCCATTTAAGAATATGTCCATAGGTATGCCAGGCCCTGGTGTATTTCCCCCATATCGGAGAGTGGACAGCAACATTTCTGTGCTTTACTCCACTTCATGATCTGGAAGAAATTGTGTGTTATTTCTCTTTTCCTTTTTAAAGCACCATTTTATAGCACTTAGAAATTGCTAGAAATGCTACAGAACTTTCAGAAAGGAGAAAAGTCAGTTCTGATAACATCATTCTGCAATGGGTAAAATTGAAAGTAAATATAATGCTAGGAAAAGAACCAAAATTGAACACAGGAATTACTCAGTTTTCCATTCTTAAATTATCCAGATCAATCCAAACCAAGAAAAGTCAGAAACAGGCAATAAAGGGAGGACAAGAGACAGCAACAAAGTTTTGAGCGACGAAGAGAAAGAAGCACTCATTAAACAAGCTCTGCAAGAAAAGGTAATTCTATCTGATACAATATATGTATTTGCTGTCAAACAAGTAGCTAACTTTGTCTCTTGCAGGTGAGAGAGGGGGAGAGAATGTGGCAGCAACTTTAAGTCAATCTGGTTTTTATTTTGGCATAAACTTTCACAGATATAAGCCTACATCTTCAGGTGCAGTTTGCGGTGATGTTAGTGTCTCAGATTATAAAGCATATTTATAAAGTTGTAGGCATTGGGATTGAATATAACAGGATCCAGAATGACGCAAATAATGTCACCTGCCCTAAATTTTCAAAGGACTGGGTGTGGTGATACAGGTCTTTCATATAATTACCATGGCCAGTTAGTGTGGATGTGTGAAAGCAATAAAACTGCTTACTAAAAGTCAGTGTAATTGGGTTCTCTCTGGAAATATTCCTTTTCTTATATGGTGCAGCCTCAAAGGCTCTAATCCTTGGCTGGATCTATACAGCATATTATTGCAGTTTGAGCTGCATTATATAGTCAATGTAGACTTATCTAATGCAGTTTAACTGCACTAAACTGCATTAAATGAGTCTAAACTGACCATGTAGTGAAGTTTCAAACATTACATGGCAGTGTAGATTGACCAGAACATGAAAACTTCATTTTTGGGGGACTGCAAATCTCTGCTGGCATTGCCACCATTATTGATACACATAACAACCCGAGAAAATCTTTTTTCACCTCATAGTTATGCAATTAAATATAGTCTGCACTCAGACAGAATATGGAAAATTGATCAAAAAACTCAAGAATGCCATCTGTTGGAAGTTTGTCATAGCAGCAATTAAATTATTTCATTAAGAACTAACAAAATGCTGCATATGGAGTGCACTTTAAATTGCTTTTCTTAATTACACGACATAAAGATTCTTAATGTTGCATAAGTTAGATATTTTATTAACACAGCAAAAAGGCTGTAAGTCAGGGTAGGGAAACAAGAAACCTTTAGAAACCACATTTTTAAAATGCAGGAATTTTTTTTGGCATTGTGCATAATTGGAGTAACATGCCTAGTTTAAGGAGAAATCATATATGAGTAATGTATTGAATATACTAGTTTATCCCTGGCTTGGGCTATGGCTCCTGATCTGTAGACATAATAGCACCATGACATAATCATAACAATTAATCACAAGGAAAATATTGTGAGTATTGAGACGTGTGGAAGCCCCAACATAGCTTGTAATACATATGCTTCCTTTATAAACACTGTGCTTGTTTTTGGTGGACATAAAGGGAAAAGGCATATAAAAATTATTTGGGGATACATGGATTACAGCCAGAGCAGGCAAGAAGTAGCTTTCATTCTGTTTCGGGGGGTCCTGATTTATAAAAATAGATTTTAGCACTAGAGGTGAAAATCACATTTTTGCTGTAAAAACATAGAACTATAGAGTTGAAAGAAATCTTGTGTGCCATCCAGTCCAACTCCTTGTCAAGAAGCAGGAAAATTGTCTTCAAAGCATGGCCATCCAGCCTCTGTTAAAAGCCTCCAAAGAAGGAGTCTCCCCCATACTCTTGGGCAGAGAGTTCCAATGCTGAACAGCTCTCACAGTGAGGAAGTTCTTCCTAATGTTCAGGTGGAATCTCCTTTCCCATAGTTTGAAGCAATTGTTCTGTGTCCTAGTCTCCAGGGCAGCAGAAAGCAAGTTTGCTCCCTCCTCCCTATGACTTCCTCTCACATATTTATGAAGTTGAAGTTTGGCAGTAGAAAGGAAATCACACATTTTGCTGCAAAAGCAAAACATATGAGGAGTGTGGATTTGGTAACTTTTACTCTTCCACTGTCTCTTATCATTGAAATTATGTGATGTATGTAAGCAGAGTCAATGCAAGCAATTGCCAATATCTGGATTAAAGAAAGAATGAAAAGAACTTTGATTTATACCTGAATATTGATATCCCTTTTCAAACTGTGTCTTTTTTCTGTGCCAATAGTTTAAAGCTTAACTACTTGCAGTATCCTCTGAGGGATCCAGCCGCCCCTCAACATTTGTAAGAGAACTACCTATAACAAGAGTCAGCATTATTTATGTTTCAAAAATATCATAACAGCTTTTGACAGGGTTGGTCCTATTTAGGACTGAAAACTGTGGCAGGTTGAGCTCATAAATATTACTTATTTTGGGATCCAATTCCCAGGATCCCCAAAGCTAGTGGCTGGGAGAGTCTGGGAGATACATTCCAAAAAGATATTCCATACTGTAGAGCAGTGGTTCCCAATATGTGGTCTGTGGACCACCAGTGGTCCGCAAGAACTAAAATATTGTTCACGGCCTCACCATTGCTATACCTACGCAACGCCCCACTGACCATGCCCCTTTCTTTGTGGCCGTGTGCCCATGGCAAGGAGGCAAGAGAAAGCCATTAGGGATAGTTTCTTAGGTCTTGTTTTGTATTTTTTTCAACTTCAGCCCCCTCCCTTTATTATTTTTTTTACATGAGTATTAACAAAAACCATTGATAATAACAGCCCAATCATTTTTTTTCTTGGTGTCTTCATTTTTAGGCCAGTTCGTGGGGTTATTTGGGGCACTGATTCAGAAAATTACATTGGCTAGACTACATCAGCTCTAAATATGGTTTTCTGTGGGCGAGCAGATGGCGACTACTGTATGGCATATGTTCTGTATTAGAAACTAGAGCTGGTATGGTTTATCCAATGCAATTTTTGAATCAGCAGCCCAAATAACCAAATCCAAATCTAAAGTTGACCAAAAACTGATTTTTAACCCTTTTGGTACTAATGTTGGAGAGTGCTCCCTGGTCAAAAAAATGTTGGGAACCACTGCTGTAGAGCCAGTCTGTCACAGATAAAATGTCTGCAATTTTTATTTATTATTCTGGGTGAGTTGAAGTGCAACAGACCCAGCAGTAGGTGGCAGTGTAGAATTACATTATGTGCTAAGCATTTCCAAAATAAAATAACAGCAAAATAATCTCCCACAAATTGCATGTTTCTGCCAACAGCAGGTGAATGCTGGAAGATGTGTGTGTGTGTGTAGACATACATGTGTGTGTGTGTGTGTGTGTGTGTGTGTGTGTGTATAGAGGGACACTAAAACGCATCCTTGAGGAAAGCTATATAGATGTAATTCAATGAATAGTGTTAAATAGGGGATTTTATGTCATGTATGGTAACTGTTTTCAAAGAAGTATCCATGTTCATCTGTTTTAGCAATAAAAAGGAAGACAGAAGAAAAAAATAGACTTGTCAGACCTTGAAGACCAATTGATTTTAGCATAAACTTTAATGGACTTCAGTTCTCATCTTCAGATGAATAATCATAAAGTTTGCACAACATTCAATTTTCCTTCCCTTTGGATGTAGTCTTAAAAATGGAATTATAACATTATTGCAAATTAAACATGATGCTTCTGCCAATTAGACATTCATTTCAATGACATTTTAATGACATTTTTGAAAACCTGATATGAATGGCTAATCTCTCCTCCCTTTTCAAGTACTATCTTGAAACCTACAAGAATCTGTGCAAGCTCAGGAAGATCCTCGGTGAGCGTTACAGAATTTTGTTGAATGAGAAAGTTCAGAAGCAACGAATTCAGATCAAGATGTTTGATCTCAAATACCAACAAGAGCTTAAACAGAAAGCAAAAAAGGTAGGAATATTCTATAGAAGGAAAAAGAGACTGTGACAAATAGACTCTGAGATCTCATTCTCTGTGCATATTTTCTGGAGTTTTCTACTTGGTGTGGTCTTATTTACAAAATTCATATTCCAACAAACATTACATTCTATTGACATCTATAAAGAGATTGATATTTTTGAGTTTTTTTTAGGTCTGTGGGTTTTTTGGAGGGGGGCGTTAATTTATAATGAAAATAATTTGCTGAAATATAAGTTTATGGCAGATAGAAAACTGAGTAGTAAAAGAAAGGATTTTAATTTCCTTAAGTAATCATAGTTTAAAATAATGCATTGTTGTTTATGAAATATAATAGATATTTTAGATAATTTCAGAAACTAGGCATTATATCATGCTCTACATGTTTGAAGGCCAGGATATGTGTGGCTTGCTGTGAGGAAATATAAAAGACAAATATAAATCTACATGGCTAATGGCTTAGTCATTTCTTATTTTGGACAATATAAGTTATAAATTTACATTGGCAATGGTATTCTAAACATATTATCTGGACACAAGTCCTATTGAATTAATACTTATAGTTGTTCAACCAAGTGCACTGTTTCTAAATGAAGTTCACTTCTTCCTGCAAATACTTATAACAAATGGACAATAAAGACATCTGTATGAAAATACATTTTCTTTGAAAATATTGCCTTCATTTCCTGTTTTCTACTCCACTAGTCTTTCAACTTCTAAATAAATTACTTTGTGATTTCATAAATTGCACAAATGTTGTTTCAATTCATCTGATGCTATCCTTTTATAGTATTTAGAATATTGTCTTTGGGTCTGGTGTACATTTCCCGAACGCTTAAAGAGCAAAAGTTAAACAAAATGTTCTTTATCTGTCAACGAAAGGAGAACAGAGACACAATATTATATTATATGGCTCAAAAGTAGAACACAACTTAAAAATGGTTTTGAACTATAATTTTCTGAATTTCCTATCTGCTCTCATTTGGGGATTAAACTCTTCCACTGTAAGTCTTGCTGCATGTATAAAAAGGAGAATTAGAATTTATATCCAATATGATAGTCTTTGTCAATCTTTGTTTACCCATAAGAAAAAGCCAGCATATAGCATTTCAAAATGTTCTTACATCACTGTTGGGAAAATTAAGCTTAGTTTAAACAGGATACTTAAGGCACTACAAGGACTAGCATCAAAACAAGGAACACTACCTTCACTTTTCCTTTTTCTGCTCTTTTCTCTGAGGAGCGTGGCCTGTTTTTCTCGCTCCAAGAAAGCAAAAACATCCTCTGTCTTAAGAGAGCCAATATATCAGGCTGTCTCCACAAACCAATGCTAAAGTCGAGATTGTAGTCTTATTAGCATCCTATTAATATGTGCATAAAATGTAGTCCGTGTCTCAGCCCAAATACACAAATTGGGAAATCAAAGAGAAATCCTTCACACCTTTTGCTTGCTTCATCCTGAACTTTTATTTATCTTAAAACAACTTCCTTAAGAGAATTTCCTCTTCTAAAGGAAACACTTCTCCATATTTAACAGGCCAATACCACATTGGGTCCCCTTTCGAGCCATGAAATCTCTGAAGGACCAGAAACTCCTTCAGTTGTGATCTTTTGAAAGTTTTAACTGCATTGAATTTTGACAGCAATAAAAAGAGTAAAGCTGAACAACAGTTTCAACTTTGTTTTCATCTCTAGGGAGAAAAAAGAAAAACGTTGTGGTTTTAAAAAAGAAAGTCTGTCTTCTTTTACAATATATCAGAAATTAGGAATAAATAGAATATTTTTGTTTTCAGGTCATTTTGAGATATAGTACTTTGATAGCTCCAGGTAGGATGTTGTGAAAATTTCAGGTGTATTTTGCTGTAGAAATCAATGTGAAAATGTAGGAGTTAGCATGAGCAATATAAAAGACCGGCAGTCATTTAAATTTAAGGTAAAGTGTTTGTTCCTTTATTAGTGCATTTAGATGGCACTTCCAACTGTGGAACCCAAAGCAGCTCGTTGATGATAAAACAAAATTAGCTAAAAACTTCACAACAAAACAAAAACACAATTAAATGACTGCCATATTAAAACCATACATTAAACCACACAAGATTTTAAAACACAAACGTTACTAAAACATCTCCCCACCCACTTAAGAAGGTTCCCTGAAAGCAATTACTCTTTAAAAGCCTGCTTAAACAAGATGTTCTTTATCTGCCAATGAAAGGAGAACAGAGACACAAATATTATAGGACTCCAAATCATATCATGCCTATCTTTGTAAATCTGCTCTTGTTTTTGAAAGTGTCTTCAGTAACTTCACTTTAACTTTATGTTAAATGGCAGTGCTTATAAGTTTGGTTACACTGAATTTAGCTTATTGTTTTGATGAAATCTCTGTCTCCTCGCCTCTATATGTGCCTGTCTGAGATTTGTGTGAAAAGCATGGTCTTCTCAGCAGTGGCAGCCCAGTTGTGATGTGTCTGAGATCCAATTGGTAGCAACATGGGTCTAATTCTAGAACCAAGTTAACTCTTGGATTTTTATTAAAGCCATTAAGGCAGGCATGGGCAAACTTTGGCCCTACCGGCTGTTAGGAATTGTGGAAGTTGAAGTTCAAAACACCTGGAGGGCTGGAGTTTGCCCATGCCTGTTTTGAGGCCAAATGACACCACCTGGCATACATTCCTACATGTTTAAAATGCCAACATTTATATTATATTTTGCTATATTATTTTCGGTGTTTATATATATTGTATTTTTAGCATGTTTTATCGGGATTTTTGTATTTTGTGATGATTTTTATTTTTAAGCTTTATTTTATTTGTTGTAATTTTGTTTATTAAGTTACAGTTATGTTGTTTATACTGTTTAATGTGCCTTGTCTTGATGTAAACTGTTTGTATCGTTTTCTTTTGGCATTGAATGGTTGCCATATTTTTGGAAACCACCCTGAGTCCCTTCAGGGAGATAGAGCAGTCTATAAATAAATGTTGTTGTTTTTTAAAAAGCAATTGTCTGATTATTCTACATTGTTCTACATTTCTACTCTCCTACTTTAGTTCAAGAGGAGTAGACATATTTTAAAGAATTAAATAATTGCAATTTTATGAAGATACGACCTTGTTAGGATTTGACTGTAAAGAACTGATCACCAGGAAGTTTGAAGAAAAATCAGGTTTTGACTTAATACTGACATGAAGTCAACCACAGGCATCAGTCAGGCCTTTAAGGAGAAAGCTTTTACTTTATTTCTACCCCACTCCATCTCACCCTGAGAGGGATTCAGAGCGGCTTCCAATTTTGGCAAACATTCAATACCACAAATATAAAAGATCAAACAAACATACACAACTAAACATTAAAATCAAACATATAAATACAAATTAAAACCAGTTAAAACATGTAAAACATATAAAACATAGCCCCAATCCTGAAATCGTTATCCAGATTACCTCTTACTTCTTATGTCCATTCGTAAGAGTCTATTGCACTTTAATTTCTACTCACCAAATCCCTGCTTTCACAGCCAGGTTTTCACATTTTCCCAAAAGACCAGGAGGGACGAGGCAATCTGATGTCAGTGGCAAGGGATTTCCACAGCCGAGGGACCACCAGAGAGAAGGCCCCATCTCTCATCCCCACCAATCGCACCTGCGAAGGAGGTGGGATGGAAAGCAGGGCATCCCCTGTGTTGCAATCCAGAGCAGGGAACGAGGCCCTAAGATAACTATCCACCACACTTGGCTGTGAAAAACAATCCTTTTTTATTGAAGAAAAATGGTTACAAAATAAAGGAAAAATGCAAGTCAAAAGCCACAGCAAAATCAGCAAACATGAATTTAAATGGACAAAGCAAAACCAAAAGCCTCACTGGGACATACTGGATTCTACTATCCAGCAATCCACTAACCGTACTTGATATCCTAGAAATCTTCCCAGACTATGGCCAGGGAACCGAGAGAACTGCCAAGGTCTTCATCAATTCTGAAACGATGCCTGAACTGAGACAATCAGCTCGGCGTATTGCAATTAAAACTCAAGAATTGGTTCCGTGAACCGCCCTTCTGTTTTGAAGCCAATGTTTTTAATTCTTGAATTCGGGAGGATCGACGCAAACTGAGTGATTTACTTCTGTCTTCCCAAATTTGGCTCCTTCTGTTGTCATTACAGTTAACAGGTGCAGAAGGGAGGGAAAGTTCAAGGTCTCCCTCTGCAACATTCTCATTAACACTGGTACTTTCATTTTCCAAATCTACAGAAGTTCCTTCCTCACTAATTTCAGGAACATTGGCATTTTCCAAACCTACAGCAGTTTCTTCCTCACTAATTTCAGGAGCATTGGCATCAAAAGGTACATTTCCACTAGCATCAGTAAATATACTTTCATTAGCATCAGGAGGAACAAACAGAGAATCGGGTTCAAGTTCAAACTCAGGCTGAACCCCAACACCCTGCAGATCTTAACAATTGGCCTGGCTGATATAGGGAGATATGTTCAGATTGCTCCCTGTCCCCTTGCCTGTCCACTCTGACATCAAGATATATTGAGTGGAACTTCCTTTGCACTGTACATTTCCCTATCCCTCCCCAAAGCCACCAATAACAACAAATACTGAAGTAAAGTGCAAATTGAAGTTGGTATTTTGCTATTATTGCTAGATGAAATGTAGCAGTATACTTCCAGAGCAGGGAAGATTGCCTATAAAGGCTTGTTGTGAATGACAAAGCAGGGGTGAAATCAACTGGAGACTAGAGAAATGTTAGTGTGCCATCGTTTTCTTTGTGTCTCCTCATTGTTTCCATGGCTAATAAGTAGGCAGAGGAACCCACCCCACTCCACATCAGCCCCAAAATAGACGAGATGGTCAACAGTGATGAGCTGGAAACAGCAAAATTAGAATCCACTTATTTTGTAAAGCTCCTTTTAAAGAGGTTGGTAGCAAAAGAAGATACAAGAGGCTTTATAATCCAAAATCACTTACGGAGACTTCAATGAGCTAAAATCA